AATGTAGCTAAATCATAATTAATAAATATATCTTTTAATAAATATTATATTATAATATTTATATATATTTATTAATTATGATTTAGTTACATTACAATTGAAATTACGAATATTGATTTTGTTTATAATATAATATTTATGATAATTATTTTGTAATCAATAATATTATATATATTATATTATAATATATTTATTAAAAGATATATTTATTAATTATGATTTAGCTACCATTACAATTGAAATTACGAACATTGAAATCTATATCTTATTAAGATCATAGGTGCATGAAGCCGTGTTTAGAGGACTGTAGTAGGAGGATCAGTCAAGTGCCTCAAGCCTGTGAAGATGATTGTAACCATTGCATAAAAAAAGTAAAGCATCGTCAAATTGGTATCACCGATGCCGAAATGCATATACTATGCAGTCACGAAAATTGCACTAACAATAGGGTTAAACGCGAGGATGCTAAACACATAAACATCGATGTTACTTCTACTGTCCACGTTGACAATCATGTCGGAACCAGTCCTCGTAAGTAATTAATTACTCATGTTTTCAAATTTAAGCACGTTGTACACCAAATATAATGTGTTCAATATTCTGGAGTAATATTTTCTATTAATTAGATCAACCGCAATGTCCATGTTATTATCACACTTGGACGCCATGCTACTGTCGCCCTACATATACATACAATATATGCCGATATTATACTTATTGGCCCTGCTATTGAGTAAGTTTAAGTACGTTACCATAATTTTTCCTACATGTTAAATGCCTCATCACGAGATGAAAAACTTAATTTTTCAAAAACCCCTAATTTTCATCATTGTTTGTTTTCCGAAAACAAATATATAACCTTCTTATATGACATAATCTTGGCATAAATTTCCTCGCAAAGTACACTATCAAGTGTTTTACATGTATTTCATCGAAGCAGACTTGGTTGACTTGGACTATGGAACTAGCTTACTACAAATTAGTTTATGCATAAAAATTTCCTTAGACTGACTATTTCGAAATTCAGTTTTGAGAAGCTGATTCAGATTATGAAAAATGAGTGTACGATCATTTTCTAGTGATCTATAAAGGCACTTAAATTATTGTTTGAGCGGTACAGATTTATACATATATTCGTGCATATTCCACACAAATCATTCTATTATCATCTACGAATTTGTAGCCTGTGCCCTGAAATGATTTATTAAATATTAAGGAGCATTAAATATCATTCCTTGATTTATTGCTATACATGATTTATAATTAAATATGCTATCATTTTGTCTCACTGTGTTTCCATAAAATTCTTTTTTTTCCAAATAAAATTGTTCTTTTTTAATCCTCTATCTTTTTTTCGCAATTTTTTATGTACAAAGACGTGCATCGACAAGCAGGGAAAAGTCATTTGAACACTTTTAACGGAGCCATCGTTTTCGTAGCGATATAACGCGACAACAATGTACTTTTGAAAGCTGGCAACGCTGTTAACTTAGCCACCTCAGACACACACTTTTCTCCGTTGCAGGCATACGTAGTTCACTAACCGACCGTTCCATTTAGGTAGAGTTCGCTATCGTACCACAGCATTTTCTACAAAGCCGGTTTGTGGTTGCAGTCGGTCAGCGTTACCGATAGTTCACGATAGTACACGTTAGCAAGAAGCGAATATATCCTACATATTTCGTTCCTGGTATGAGTGCTGGATATTATTTGGAGGCAACAAGCGCATACGGCGTGACATTTAAATTGTGGAAACAGTATTTATGGAACATGTACTACAGAAATATATCTACTTGGATAGGGTCCGTCTTTCTAAATAAATGTTGATCTGACTGAAAAATAGTTTTTACAAGGTCGAAAATTATAAACAAATCCTTATTTTTTAAATTCGTGTTCGAAATCGCGTTTTTAGAAAATAGAAAAAGATATTACCGAGATTACCTTAGACTTTTCTCTACAAACATATGTGTCTCGTAAGATGGTGTGACGCATATTAAAGTCACAGTTAATCGTCGAACGTGGCTGTGCACCCCGTTGCATGTAAACGAACCGCGCTGCACTATGACGGCCGGCGAACCGAATCACTGTCAATCCATATTACTGCAATGAAGTCTAAGAACATAATTAGCAAAGCTGACAGCCACCAGGATAATGTTATTTATATTGGCAGAATAATTTTACTAACATATTCTTAGCCAATGACACCGTTTTTACAATAATCTCATTTGTCAGTATTATCATGTTCGTTCGTTTAGTATACATGAATAAGCGTTATTGCTCAATGAGCGGTGGACTTCTTCCATCGTAGCTTGGTAGTTTGGCAGCAAGCACGTGGTCGTAATGTCTAGTTAAAATGTACGTATATTTTTCTGTTACTCTCACAAAACTGCTACAGTATGTAGAATGTTGGTATACAATAAAGACTGACTAGGATCTTAGCAAAGAGAGTGTTTTAGTATTGTATTTAGGATTATTGAGTGCTGGTTAATTCCGAGCCCTGCGCTGAGACATAGCGCAGCGGCGGCGGCAATTATTACCGTCACTGTTAAGTTTTTGGTTTAAAGAAAGCCACATTAAACTTTATATACATATACATAGTATAACTATAATTTGACATAACACTGTACAAATACGTGTGATCACTGTTGGTGCCGAAACAAAAAGAAAGACGAACCAGAACGGTGCACGTTCCAAAATGGTCTTCGGCATTCGACTGCACATAGATGATACGTCTACGGTACGTATTCCAACAGTGATACGTCGATATCTACAGCATCTACAATCGGAAAATATTATACGTGTAATAATTATCATTAAAAAGATAAAATTCTCGATAAAATTCCAAAAACACGTATCCCTATGTATTTGTGAGACACATACTAGAAATACGATATGCAAAAAGTGTATACGAGCCCATCTTATGTCTGAGAAAACTGTAACAAAAATAACGGTATAATAATTTCGTATAATTATACGTTTGTCTTCAAAATGACGATTAACAGGAATTAGTTAACGTTTATAGATATACATGTGAATCTATTATGTGTTTCGCAATACGTTAGATAATGTTGGATAATAGCGAAAGTAGTCGCAGCATCCTGCCGTGGGAATGGCAACTAGTTTCTCCTACTCGCGTATCCACCTGAGTTGCGGGCAGATTTTTCTCACTGTATAAGTATTGCAAGAACTATCCTGCTGGCATCGTATTCTAATCATAATTGAACTTTCGGATGCAAGAACAGCCTGAAAGCACTCAAGCCCTTCTTGCGGAAAATATATAAATCGATTTTTCATTCCATTCTAAATATATCCCGCAAATTTTACTGCGATATCTCTAAAATTGGCGAAGTTACGGCAAATTTTGAATCGACGTGCGACGTTCACGAATAAGATTGATCGTCGCGATTCGTACCGCTGCGTCTGACAAATACGAGTCTCTGGTAATGGACGATCTGTTTGGTCTAGTAAGCATCTTCTGGTATCATTTGTGCATTGTGAACGAAAATTTGTGCTAAAAATCGGAGAAATGTAATCTCTAGTTCAGACTAAGACAGTGAACCAACTCGAGGAAGATTTGTAAAACCTGATCGAAGGAAACTTCGTCAAGAGGATACTTGGAAACGTAATTACAGAGTAAAAGACGAAGAACTCAAGCGATGTCATATGAAAATACAAGTGAACGGATTGGAAATAAGAAAATTTTTAATCCAGTCTTTACATGTTGCCCCAATAAGTATTAAACTAATGTCCATTCTCCATGCCAGAAAGAATTGTATGTTAATTTTTATGAGCAGCAAAGTAAATCTCTTCAGAACCTCTATTTATCAGGTGCCAAAAGAAATTAAGTCTAGGAATATTAACCCAAAATAGATGCCGTATGAAAATCTATGGAAGTATTTTGTGATTAAATTTCCGCTCTAACCTCCGATGAAAAAGTTAAAAATATCGCTTTTTATTTCTTTTTAGCATTCCAATCAATTATAATTGGTGCAAAAATTTGTTTAAACACTGTCCAGTCAATAACATCTGAAAAAAATTCAAGTCATGCGACACAATTTTGAAAAACTTATTCCGTTTTATGAGGTTTACGAATATTTTAGTGAGTGATTAATTATATAAAAATTGTCTCATTGGTTTGGGATATAGTAAATTCTCCCTAATTGACGCTCAGGTTGTATAGAAAAATGGACAATTTGGGAAAAGGAGATACGATTATTCGAGCCATACGACTCGTTTTTACAATTACCGATTGTCAACAACTACTTCTAGCAATTTTTTCAAAATTGCACTAATTTAGTTATATTTTTTGAGATGTTAAAAAGACGGATTTGTTAGACAATGTGTGTAAAAATGTTTGTAAAAACAGTAATTAGGTGGAATGACGTAAAAGATTAAAATATCACGCTTTTCAATTTTTTTATCTGTCTATATAACATAAAAACAAAGAATGCATTTATTAGGTCTCGATGACTACGTGCGAATGCTGAAGATTTCATCAAAACTGGTTGACGCAAAGATAAGCACAGGCACTGAAAGATGACAAAATCTCTAGATTTCTTACACTTTTTGGTCGAAAGTTTTTTCTATCTGTAATTGTTTGTAGCTCACAGCAATGTAAACTAATTTCGACGAAATTTTCGTCATGCATATGAGCCATCGAAACCTAGAAAGCGCGTTATTTAAATTTTCATTATATGGTCGAATAAAATTGTTGAAAACGTAACTTTTTTATTTTTTTGTATCATTTCCCTCAATTGCCAATTGCAATGTTTACAAACATTGTTTCATGTCTTGTCTAGCAAATCAGCCCTTCTATTATCTCAAAAAAAAATTCAAATTGTTTGGTCCAATTTGAAAGAAATTATTCTGACGTGTATGGTTTTCTATATATGTATACCGTGTTATAGTGTTGCCGCGAAGTGTACGTTTACGCTTGGAATGCGTAAGTTGTGAAAGAATGTGCAACATTAGTTACCGGGATAATTAACAGCAAGGTTGGTCGCACCGTAACGACCACGGAGGATCGTTTCTAGCCCTGATCCGTTGTATCATTCAAGTTAAAGGGTTCTTTGTTCTAATCTACACCTGGCGTACGATCTAACTCCTCGAGTTTATAGTGCAAACGGGCCACATCGACGGACCACCCACGGACTCGCCCAGCTGTGTTCTCCGTTCGTCGCGCTCAAAACTCATCGAACGTCTGCATGAGCCTGGATATTCGACTTCCGCTATATAATGCGGTAACAGTACACTCCCCTTTGCCCCCTCGAAGAAACTGGACATTAAATTTTCACGGTTCAGTGCCGTCGAACGCGAGTCCTTCTGGAGCACTGTGTGCAACCCTGACTTCTACGTCCTGCCGTGGAACCCCAAGGAGGCCCTCGAAGATACCGCATATGGTACGCGCGAGCGACCCGGTCACCGGTCTACGGAGGTCCCAATTAATCGAGGTACTCGAGTGTCTTAATACGCACGCACGTACCTACCACGTAACTTTCTTTTAACCGGCATTCTTGCGGATGCGTCAATTCGAAAATGCAAGCTGCTCCACTCGATCCGATACAAAGGTCTGCTTCTCGCCGCGAGCTGCGGGATCGTCGCAATGTAATCGTCGACGTTTCGTGATTCGAGCTTTTTTTTTAACGCACGCGAATCTATAATCTTTTGAACGAGAGACTTTTGCAGTTCCTTCGTTCTTACGCGCTCAACCTACAGCAAGATACGAAAGTATTCGAACGTGCTTTAAAACGGAATGACCTTTTTATGATTAGACCGAGCGATCTAAATTTTTTTAGACGTTAAAGGGATCAGTTTACTAGACAATGGTTAATCGAATTTTCCCAACATTGCAATTGGATAGAACAGCAGAAAAATTACAATATTACGTTTTTTTAACTTTTTCATTCGAATCGAACGTATAACGAAAATTTATAAAATGATCTTGGCAACTTGTGTGCATTACGCATGCGGAAATTTGTAATCGCGGCCGGTTAACGTTATTATGAGTTACAAACAATTAATGATCGCGATAATAGCAGCTTCGACACTTCCGACCAAAAACTGTGAGAACACATATACAGTGGGGAACAAAACTGAGTAGACACCATTTATAACGCAATAACTTTCTTAAAACTGAACTAAACGATTTGAATTTTTTTTAGATGATAAAGAGACTAGTCTACTAGACAATGACTAAAATGCACATAAGTTATCAAGATCTACAAAACGTAT